TCTCCCTTGGGCTGGTGACGCTCTCCTCTTCAGAAAACACGGACCGGCTTCTCAGGTCGATGTCTCTGCACTCCTTTGGATGAGCCATGAGTGAGTATTCCCGTACCATTTTAGCTTTGCCGAGCTCGCCTTCACCCTTCTCTTCTATCGCGAGCAGAGCTTTACTGCCGATGTTATCCTTCTGCACCTGGTCCATACACATTTGCAGCTTCTTCATATCCGCTTGTAGCTCTTCTCGGGTCATCCCCTCAATTGGGTCCCTCCTCGAGTAGCAATCCTCCACATGGTGCCCTCGCTTCATGCATCTCTCGCACGTTGATGCATTGGGGCAGTCCCGTTTGAGGTGTCCTTGCTCCCTGCACGTGTGACAATGCCACGTATCGAGCCTCTCTCTGGGCCCCCTTTCAGGTTCCGGCATTGCTGCTGCCGCCCAGCTGGGTTTCGACTTGGGCGTCCTGTCGCTATCCTCTAAGTCCAGCAGGCGTTGCGCATGTTCCATGCGCTTCCTTCGGCATAATGTCTGCCCCTACTCTGTACACAGCAGTGCGTACCACCGCTCTCAACTCCTCTTCCAGGCCCCGCACGAATTTCTGCACCAGTAGCCGCTCGTCATGCTTTTCTAGGTCCTCCACCAATTCTCGGAGGCCATTGTAGTATGACAGCAGCGATTCTTCCCTTTGCCTTCGGAACTCCTTAAACTCGTCCATCCGCGGTTTGGTTTGCCCCACGAAATCCATTCTTAGCAGCCGGATAAACCAGTTTGTCGGGTTAACAATCTTGCCTTCGGCTAGCTCCTCCAGTATCTCTTTGCGCACCATTTTGTAGAATGTCTCAGCTTCTCCCACGAGGGTGGCCACCGCCTTCCTAAAAAACTCCTGCAGGTTGAAGCTGTCGCGCTCCCAACAATACTGCACGGTCTCTAGCTGCATTAGATAGCTTTTGAGCGATGGTCCCATGCCTAGCACTCCCGTATAGCGCTCGGCCACCTCCACCTTCGGTGATTGTTCATCTGGTCCTTTACACTGTTAATGGCACTCCCGTATAGCGCTCGTCCTTCGTGGCTCGTGCGACCATTCCTGGCATGCATGGAGGTGATTGTTCCCCTGGTCGCGCCTTCCATTGCTCTCGTGCTTCCCTCGCCCATCGGACATCATGTGGTACCATCCTCGGATCCGAAGTCACTCCCCATGTTCCTCCGACTCCTCGATGCTATTCCGCCTGCTCTCTTAGATGCGGAGTGCGGTATTTTGGCGTCGTGTTGCTCCGTGGCGTGACGTCTCGGTTCTCTCCCTAGCGAGGGCTTTCTGTCTGCGCGCACCAACTCGGGGTGGCTCCTGTGAACTTCATTCGTCTCCTAGTATAACTAAATCCTTATCTTAGTTGAACTCAATCAGACATACCCTTGCTTGTATGTGGAAAAAGGGACCAAATATTAGCTCGTACTAGGCTCTAGAGAATGCTCGGCTGACCGCTTGACTTGGATGGCTTCCCTGTAGCTAGATTGGGTGAATATCTACGAGAAAACATACAAGCAAGCAAACGGACCCTAGCAAGTGCTTGCCTAAGTATTACTCGTGGCTACCATTGCTATTCCCTTCCCTCCAACACTTTCCAATCCTCGTAGTTTCCCGCTCTCGGCCCAGTCCTCCGTGCCTTCTGTCCGTTGATATTCCTTGCTATACCATTCCCACTTCTCTACCCTCTATCTAAGTCATGCTATTATATTAAGGTTTCTTATCCCAGATTTTATCTATTCTATTCCTTGATTGATTGCATGACTTAGGCTAGGAAAGTAGCTAGGGTACCAGGTGTAATGAATGAACTTACAGAGTGCGGAACGTAAACAAATATCGAGAATGTGATTAACTCAATGACCATACAACGAAAGTGACGTGACTAAAGAGAGGGATTCCTAGCTAGGCGGGGATGTTGGGCGAAGATGGCTCGAAAGGGTGGCGATTGGTGCGGGGTCGACTCGGGAGTGGCTTGGTGCGGAATTGTAGGCCGAATCATCTGACGCGTGGCCCTCGGGATGTCTTCGCTAATAACTTGCTGCTAGCGACTCTGAATTGAGGTGCGCCTTGGTGCTAGCGACGATGCGTACGACGCGGCGTTTTCCTCCTTGGAATCCTAGTTCGCCATAACTCGCTGCTGTCCCTGGGGCACCAAGAATGTTTTTTATGCACATGTAGTATGATATTCTTGCCATGGCGTCGCATCGAGCGCTACATCCAGGCCCTCTTGGTTTGAGGGACGCTGATTGATCAGTGTCGGTCACAACGTTGGGTAGGGTATCATGTTTACTCTAGAAGAAAAAAACCAGAGAACCAGCCTTAAATATGATAGTTCTAATAGCGCAACCTAGTCAATTGTGCTGCCATGCATAGTCTACATCATCAAAATCAATGCAGCGGAATGATGGTGCAGTAGCATGACTGAGGAGTATAAGTAGAGCTAACCCTAATGGATTGTACTCAGTACAGTCTACCCCACTACAGCCTACACAACATATAAGTTGTTTTGACACACCCCCATAGGCGAAGTGGGGAATAACAAACACAACAAGCGGTTACAAGACCAGCCAAGAGAAGAAACAAAGCAAAGCAAGCTCAGGGTGGATCTCAAGATTACCACGCATTCCGAGCACAAGCAAGCGGCCACAAGGCCAGTTCACATGCAATTTTATAATAGAGCAAGCATTACAATGATTACAACCTAGCAACCAGAAACATGCAGGTTTATATATCAAGCTACAAGACAAGATTAAGAGACAATCAGTGTTGGCCCGTGTGGCCACGTATGAAAGCGAAGCTGGGAACACTGCTGCAACACTCGTACGGCAAAGGAACGAAGTGCAAAGTGCTACGTTCTGCTCGCGTCTCTGACCAAGTAGCGCAGCACCCTCCTAGCAGCCCGCCAATGTGCAGGGTGGCGTCTCCTGGACGCAACGTAGCGAGTCCGGATGCTGAGAAAGTACGGCAGGTACTCCAGCTCGAACTGTCTGTCCTCAAGAACGTCACAGCCAGGGGCAAGCTCACCCCCGACGGACAGAGGATACAAAGAGGTAGAAACAGCAGTAGTTGAAGAAGCATGTGCAGTCACAAGCGCAGCTAGACAACGAGGGATAGTTGGGCTAGCGGCACGAAAAAGGTTAGACACATGGCCAGGAACGGCAAGAAGAGAAGACGGGGGAGGTAACGGCAGGACAACAGGCTCCCGAGTAACACAAGAGGTAGCAGGGGAGGCGGCACAAGACACAGGCACCCGACGCCCAGTCAAGGAGACGAGCAACGGGGAGTATCGAGCATGAGCAGGCAGCGGGGAGTCAGGCGGCGGAAACAACAGAGGAGGAGGAGTACAAGTGATCGTCGGCACAAGTAGCGACGACGACGTCTGCTCCAAGAAGACAGGCCGCCGCGGCAGTGACTGCAGCACACCCCAAGACCCAGCACCTCCTGTACCAGTACCTCCAAGTCCACCAACTCGAGGACTCCTAGCACTCCCAGAGTCAGCACCCCCAGAAACAGCACCCTCAGAACCAGCACCCCCAGAACCAGTTCCCCCAGAGCCAACACCCCCAACAACACCTGGGCCCCCGAAGTCTACAGCGACAGGCTGCAGAGGAGGCAAATATGTCCGAGGCAGAAAACTCGGAGGTGTCTCCAAGCGCAGCGAGCGGTGACAAGTCGTAATGTCGCCAGCAGCGGGGTCACCCCCCTCAATCGAGCCAGAGGAGTCAGAGGTGACTACGAGGCACGAGAGAGCAGGGGAGGAGTGCGCATAGACTAGTCTAGAGGTGGGGTCGGCCAGCGTGACAGGGACCGAGAGCAACGCCTCCGCAGGAGCAGCACCAGTGCTAGTAGGCGCACAAGCAGCGACACACGAAGACTCTAAATGCTGCTGCCCGCCCCCGCCACTCTCGCGAGCTCCACTACAACCACCTTCGTCAGCTACAGTGGCAAGGTCTGACAGCGCAGGGAAGGTAAGAGGCAGCTCAAGACAGCCTAGGGTGGCAGGAAGGGGGGGGGAGTAGAGCCTAACCATAGCAGTATATAAAGCAAGGGCTGACGGCACCTGGCGAAAGTTGGCTTTCTGGTCGAGCGAGAGGTGAGCGCGGACTGCAAGTTTGGCAGAGACGTCGCACGCCATCCACCACTTGAAGGCAATGTTATAGTCACAATAGCCTTGAATGTGCATAAAACGAAAGATAGAGTGCACAGTCAGATTTCTGCACAGCGGATTCAAGCGTTGATAGCGTTCTGATCACAGCTTGAAATGAATTGCTATAAATTGGATCTGGAGCGTCTTGATGTCGTCTACACGAGGCAAGTTGAATCACACGATTTCATCAAGACTTGACGACGCAACGTTGGTTTGAACGAACGGCACTATGGCAGCCACTATAGACTTAGAACACAAAATTAGGAAGAGTTACGAGTTGAGAATGACTCCCAGCTCCTACAAACCTCAAGAGCCGAGGTACAGTGATGTGGAACAGTGCCACACTGTCCCCAACCACGAAGGGTCTCGAAACTACCCTCCACAAGGGCCTACACCAAGAGAAATATTACACTACACAAAGTAATGCAACTATTCTCACTATCTTGAAGTTTACCCTTTTGGAGAGCTTTGAAATCACTTGAATCTTGAAACCAAGGCTCTGGTTCTTCAAGATAAAATCTTCCTTGAGTTCTTGGAATTTTGCTACGCACACCTGCGACATGCCGAACGTTCCACGCACGACAAAATAGAAAACGCACACGACACGCAAACAACGACGTGACACGCGACTAGCGATAACTCGATATTGACTCGACACACACATTCAAAACCATGCCTCATCATTCACACAATATTATAAGCATGAAATATATATGATCTCATGCCCTCATACCATTCCATGCACACACGCATGCACGCACACGGACAAGCCGAATGCAAACCGTAGGGTTGCACCAACAAACTCCCCCTCGGATTGTTGGCCTTAGGAACTTGCTCTCTTAGTTCAGAGCCATCCCAGGCAGCTTGCAACACTTCCAATGCTGCTTCTCCACCAGCCTCTTGGTCATCATGTCAGCTGGCTGCCCCGTCGTCTTTACGTAGCGCAACTCAACTTCACCCGCGGCCACCATGCTCCTCGTCCAATGCCACTTCACCCTCATGTGCTTCGTGAGGCCATGCAACACTGGGTTCTTAGCAAGAGCAATGGCACCCTGGCTGTCACAGTAGAGTGGGGTAGGTCCTTGCTGCTCCTCCCCCAATTCAGCCAACAAACGCCGCTGCCACACAATCTCCCGTACGGCACGGAAGAGTGCCATGTACTCGGACTCCACCGAGCTCAATGCTTGATCCACCTGCTTCTTGCTCTCCCAAGCAGTTGGGCCTCCACCAACATAGCAAATGAACCCTCCAACACTTGTCATGTCCTCTGGTTCCGATGCATAAGAAGCATCCGAGAATGCGGTGAGGAACAAACGCCCGGGTTCAACACCATCCGCGCCCTTTTGGCGCCTTTGCGCCGCCGTCGAGTATTGCAGCCCAACCGTCGCTGTTTGGCCAAGATACTTGGCCACCCTCATTCTAGCAGCTACCTGCTCCTCATTAGGACATTGAAAAACCCTAGCCAACTGTCCGGTTGCAAAGGCGACGTCCCGTCGGGTGTTTACCGCCGCGTAGATGAGGCTGCCCACCAACGAGTGAAAACGGCGTCTCTCCTCTTCACCAACGCTCTCCTCCTCTGGTCTCTTCACACACTTGAACCCAGAGGGAAAGGGTGTAGCCACATGGCCTTCACTCTGCCCAAAGTTGGCAGCCAATGCCTCCAGGTACTTCTGTTGATGCACCCGCATGCACCGCTTCTCCACATCTCGTTCGATGTGGAGCCCAAGGTAGAAGCTCACGTCACCAAGGGCCTTGCACTTGAACTTGTCTTGAAGCTTCAGCATCACTTCCTTCGCAAGATCAGAGGAGGGTGAGAAAATTAGGATGTCATCCACGTACACAACCATGAAGCTCCTCTGCTCCCCCTCGCCAAGCATGAACAATGAGTGATCGGCCGTTGAGGGAGTGAAGCCGATCTCCTCCAAAACTCCTCGCAGCTTCAAGTACCACTGCCTAGGGGCCTGCTTCAGCCTCAAAACCCTGCCACTACCATCATCAAACCCCTCTGGCTGCGCCATAAAAATATCTTCCTCAAGGACGCCGTTGAGGAATGCGGTTGTGACATCCATTTGTTTCACCACCCATCCTTTGATGGCAGCTCCCGCGAGTAGGGTTCGCAGCGTCGTCGGCTTCACCACAGGAGCAAACAACTCCTTATAGTCCACCTTCTCCTTCTGCTGGTACCCCTTTGCCACAAGCCTAGACTTGTAGCGCTCGATTTTGCCATCGGCGTTGGACTTGATCTTGAAGAGCCACTTGGACGTAATCGCCTTACGCCCCTTCGGTAGCTCTACCGCTTCCCACGCGCCGTTCTCCTCAATGCTCTTCAACTCACTCTCCATTGCTTTCTTCCACTCCTCAGCATCACTACTCTCCAAGGCCTCCTTGAGAGTTGTTGGTTCCCTCGGCATCTCCACCGGAGAGAAGAAAGCGAAGGCACACTCGTCGTAGTCACTCTCCTCGTCATCTCCAACTATAAGTGTCACTCCGGCCAGAGCTGACTTGGCTGGCTTTCCCAATGCATCATAGGTCGGCCTATTAGGGGCTTGAATTCTCCTCTTGCCCCTTCCTTCCTCCTCAGCTGCAAGGACATGAAGGCCTTGGCGTTGCTGCGGAGTGACTCGGATCCGTGGAGCACTCGTAGTGCGAGAAGGAAGTGTCGGTGCACGCTCGCTCACTTGCTGCACCTCCTCCTCTTCTTCCTCTGCATCCTTGGCCTCCTCTCCCCCATTCACAAGGGAAGATTGCCTTGTGGTGGTGCTGCTGCTGCTCAGCTCCAAGGGCAGCTCCACATGCTCCAAACCGGAACTCTTCACCTCCCCAAACCGCACGCCTATCTTCGCCTCATTCTCCGCCTTCCAATCCTTATACATCAGGTTTTCCATGAATTTGCAGTCCCTGCTCACCAAGAATTTTTTGGTGAATGGGTCCCAAAGAAGCCACCCCTTGCTGTTTTGAGCCATGCCCAAGTGCACAGCCCATATCGCCTTGGCACCGAGCTTGTTGTGCCGAAGATGCTTAGGCATGAGCGTTATGCACATGCACCCGAACACCCGAAGCATATCCACCTTTGGCTTCCTTCCAATCCACTCCACATAGGGCACCCATTTGTCTGCTCCCACATGAGTCAAAGCTATGTTCTTGGCCACACATGCACTCCGCACCGCATCAGGCCAGAAATAGTCGGGTAGCCCGGCTTCAATGAGCAACTGGCGCGCCGTCTCCGTGATTGTGCGGTTCGCTCGCCCGGCGATGCCGTTCATTGCAGGGGAGTATGGCATGGTAAGGGAGTGCCTAATGCCATTCTTCTTTAGCCACAATGAGAACTCCTTGCTCATGAACTCTCCCCCTCGATCGGTGCGAATTGCCTTCACTAACCGGTCGCTCCACCATCGGCAACCAATCGGTCTTCGCCGTTTCAGCCATGTCACTCTTCTTGGACAGCACGTACACCCAAGTCATGCGAGTGTAGATGTCCACAATGGTGAGAAAGTACTCAGCTCCAACAGCTCCAGGCTTCAGGGGGCCCACCACGTCCATCACCACCTCATCAAGTGGTGCCTTAGCCGTTGCCTCCAAACTAGAGAACGGGTAACGGGTGAACTTGGCTTGCATGCACGTCGGGCAGCCAAGTACCTCATCGGGCTCCCCCTTCACACGTATGCCAGCAACCATCTCATTCTTCACTAGCTGCTGCAAGATGGGCAGGGCCACATGCCCCATTCGCCGATGCAAGGTGAGCCAATCACACTCCCCCGTAGCCGAAGTCGGATTGGAGAATGCCGCACTCGCAATAGTGCCCCACATGTTCTCTCCGTACTCCTCCTCCGCTGCTGCCTTGGGGTTCTCCTCATCCTTGTGCTGCTTCTTGGATGCTGAACCACTCTCATCATGTTCACCAAGCTTGCTGGTCCCTCCAAGATTGCACTTCTTGGACTTAATCTCCTTAGCGCGACCATTCGCGCCATCGCCGCTACCAACCGCTTCACCCTTGGTGCTGATGCTTGCTGCCACTTGCCGCTCCTTAGGCATGGGGACCACAGGGATCTCCCACATCTCGTTGTAGACATCCCTATCTTCGTGAAGATCCCAAAGAATCCGCTCGCCAAGCCTCGCGGTGTAGGTCTTAGCTCCCTTCGAGCTCGTGTCCATGCCGGCCTTTTGCAACCGCCGCACGGAAATCAGGTTTGCAGCAAGGTTGGGCACCCAAAGCACGTTCTTGAGGCCCACCATCTTCCCATCAGCACCCTTGAACATGGCCTTGCCCATGCCTTTCACCTCTGCTCGCTGCCCCAAAGCCGATGTCAGATGCTTCACCGGTGACGGCTCAAGTTCGGTGAGCAAGTCCGCACGAGGTGTCATGCTATAGGTAGCGCCGCTATCGATCACCCAATAGTCCAGGGAGTGTAAGGTGACCTTCCCCATAGCTGCTGGCTCCTCAAAGCCTTCATCCTTCTCTGGACCAGCCGGTGCTTGCGTGGATACGAAGAAGAATTGACCCGGAAAGCGATCGTCCCTCGACTCGCTCTCGTTGCCGGCACTCTTCATGTTTGCAGCTCCACCTCCGCGACCGCCACGGCCTCCACGGCCTCTTCCTCTCCCTCCTCCTGCTCCTCTACCCTCTTGGCCTTGAGCAGGGGTCCATCCATCAGGGAGCTTGAAGCAATCGCGCCACATATGTCCGCTCTTGTGACAATAGTGGCACTCGCCGTCGAATCGGCCTCGACCGCGTCCATAGCTCTTGTTATCGCTGCCGTATCCGCCACTCCCGCGGCCTCCATTGAAGTTGTTGCTGCCAAATCTGCCTCCCCCTCGTCCTCTGCCCCTTCCACGGCCATACCCTCGGCCGATGCTTGCTGCCCCGGCGCCATCCGCACTCGCCAACTCACGGCGGCGTAAGTCCTCTTGAAGGATCGCTCGCTTCACGTCTTCAAGCGAGAGGCGGGGCAAGTCACGATTGAGGTTGATGATGAGCGAGGACCATGACTCTGGGAGTAAGGCCAGCAACTTGGTCTTCTTTTGGAGCTCACTGTAGTTCAAATCAGCTCCCTCAAGCCGCGTCAACAAGTCAAAGAATTTCTGCACCCCTTCTTCAACCGCTTCGTCTTCTTCAATTCATAGTGCCGCCATTTGCCGTTCCAACACCACCGCTACCGCCGCTGTTGCAGGAGCGTGTACACCCTTGAGAGCAGCCCATGCCTTTGGTCCCTTCTTCGGTTCACGCTGGAATGGCTTGATGTGACGGATCTGGCTGCTCCCCAATGCTTGCCCAAGTAGGAGATAGCCTTGTGCGCTCTTCCGCACCCACGGGCTCTTCTCCGGGTCATTCTCGGGGCGCTTCTCCGTTCCTTCCATCACCTCCAGCAGGTCATAGTGGTCAAACACATTCTCCATTCTGAAGGACCATCCAGCGAAGTTGTCGCCATTGAACTTGTCAAGCCCAAACACCCTAGGCTCATCCCTAGGTGGGCCAAGACTTGGTTGCATGGGCGCCATGGCTGAATCACGGGGTTGGCCTTGAGCTTGGGCTTCTCCACTGCCACCAGCACCTTTGCCACCCCTTTCCTCAGGTCCAGACATTGTCGAAACTGCTCCAAGGGGCTCTGATACCACTTGTTATAGTTACAATAGCCTTGAATGTGCCTAAAACGAAAGATAGAGTGCACAGTCGGATTTCTGCACAGCGGCTTCAAGCGTTGATAGCGTTCTGCTCACAGCTTGGAATGACTTGCTATAAATTGGATCTGGAGCATCTTGATGTCGCCTACACGAGGCAAGTTGAATCCCTGATTTCATCAAGAATTGACGACGCAACGTTGGTTTGAACGAACGGCACTATGGCAGCCACTATAGACTTAGAACACAAAAGTAGGAAGAGTTACAAGTTGGGAATGACTTCTAGCTCCTACAAACCCCAAGAGCCGAGATACAGTGATGTGGAACAGTGCCACACTATCCCCAACCACGAAGGGTCTCGAAACTACCCTCCACAAGGGCCTACACCAAGAGAAATGTTACACTACACAAAGTAATGCAACTATTCTCACTATCTTGAAGTTTACCCTTTTGGAGAGCTTCGAAATCACTTGAATATTGAAACCAATGCTCTGGTTCTTCAAGATAAAATCTTCCTTGAGTTCTTGGAATTCTGCTGTGCACACCTGCGACATGCCGAACGTTCCACACACGACAAAATAGAAAACGCACACGACACGCAAACAACGACGTGACACGCGACTAGCGATAACTCGCTATTGACTCGACACACACATTCAAAACCATGCCTCATCATTCACACACTATTATAAGCATGAAATATATATGATCTCATGCCCTCATACCATTCCATGCACACACGCATGCACGCAGACGGACAACAAGCCGAATGCAAACCATAGGGTTGCACCAACAGGCAATGGGGTCGGCGCGGTATTGCGTCTGCATGGTATTGCGTCTGCACCTCCTCCCCAGCTGCAGCAGTAGGCTTTTTTTTTTTTTTTTTTTCTGTTACAGTGCTGTTAGAATCAATGCAGCAGAATGATGGTGCAGTAGCATGAGTGAGGATTACAAGTAGAGCTAACCCTAATGGGTTGTACTCAATACAGTCTACCCCACTATAGCCTACACAATTTATAAGTTATTCTGCCATGTTTGAGGCCAGATTTCGTCTTTCCAACGTTTGTATTTCTGCACAACTAGGCAAAATTGCTTTCAGAACACCCTTCGATAAAAGGCTGTTGATTCAGAGTAACGTTGGAAAAAGAACGCTGGAAATTCAGAGTTGGTACAAAATTCAGAGCTGAAAAATCAGCCTGCACTTGAAAATGCTGAAGATTGAACCTTTTTCTGGGCAAGTAGCGTAAAAATACTATCTTTTGGGGGCATGGCTACACTAAAAGCTTTGATTTTTGCGGGTCTTGGCTTGGTGACTGCCGTACGCATCTATAGATTCGGCGAGCAACATTTTCGCTAACTTTGTTCAGTTGGAGATGATTGACCTTCCAAATGTGCAACTGTTCCACAATACCGTATCGCCCCGGATATAAGCGCATGCCTATTAAAAGCGCATGCGCTTATATCTGGAGCAATGCGCTTATGGCCGATCCTCAATTATAAGCGCACCCCCTGTAAAACCCTGTTTTATTATAAGCGCATGCATAATTTTTTATTTTAAATCTGTTAAACACAGTAACGAGTTTCAAAATTGAAGCGAGCATAATTTCTTAATCGCTTCGTTTGACTCGCGAAGACCTCAGAAGCTGCGCGTCAGGTCAAGATGTGCTGGCATAGGGGCAAACTGACGTGTCTTTGTCCATGTGTGTTGGAAAAAAATCGGTAGCGCGCGATTCTGATTCCTGGCGCTATAAAATTTCGCCTCGATCGGAATGGTACCACTGAGATATACATTTTGATGCTATAAAATTATATATCTGTATCTGTCATTATATAAGCGCATGCGCTTATAAAAATGACTAAATTAGAAGCGCACCCCCCTAAAAAACTCCGCTTTATTATAAGCACAGGTGCGCTTCTATCCGGGGTAATACGGTAGCTAGGTTTTGCAATGTAGCAAGGTTAGGCTGTAGGTGAACATGTTATTTCATCTATACATTGACACGCTGCCGCGAATGTGCTTTGATGCCGGTAGTCTAATTCGTAATGGTCTTTTAATGTGTCTCGCTGCTCACACACACACACACACACGGAACATCTAGTGCCCACCAAAAACAAGCTAGCAAATCAGCATGTCATCATCCTGGTCTCTTTCTCATTCGTTTTGCCTAACTCGTCGCAGCACACATTCAAGTTGGACCCACGTCCCTATTTCAGCCTCTCGCATTAAGCAGAGTGAATTGCTTTAATCACCATAATCACTGGACGTTGGCACTGCCTGAACACCTCAAGCACTTGAGTGGTCACCAAACGAGTCCCCTTCCAGGATTTTGTCAATGCACTGCAGATGAGCATCCGCAGAAGTCAAGCCCTTAATCTCTGCGTAAGAGCGCGGGGTAGGGATGTCAAGTGCATCCGGGTCTCCCCCAGGGCAAAGCAGCATGGACGCGAAATGGGGTAAAACGACCGCGAGACACTCGAGCTCAAACTGCCTGTCCTCAAGGACGTCATAGCCAAGGGCAAGCTCACCCCCAACGGACGAAGACAGATAGACTCAGATTCAGTAACAAGACTCCCGACGTAGTCGAGACGACGGGTAGCAGCAAAGTCGACTAGCTCAGTGACTAGGGCAGACTCAGCAGTGGGCTCAAAGGAAGTGTCAGTGACA